AAATAATAATTTTATGATTATTAGAAGTTTGAACACAAGATGTGTTCTGGCTCTCTCTCATCGAGACATAATGGGAAAGGAGGCACGCTCAGCGCATGCATCATTGATGAATTTTCAGATAAATAAACAATTGGCCCAAGTTTTGTTTTTTATTTGATTTCCAACAGTGATTAAAGAGGGTAATAATGTTGCCGTCTCAGGCACATATTGTTGTTTCTTTCACTAATCCATTATTAACATGTTTCCAACACTAGATCTGCCTCTATCACCCTAATCATCTTCACTAATTAATAAATGCCAACGGGAAACATCTTCATCCTCAAAAACATTGAACGTTAGGGTTGTTCAAAAGATTAAATTTAAGATTAGTGTCTAAAGGCAAGGTAGCTTGCCACTTCACTCAACGATTACATGCTACAAAGGGATACACCAGTCCTAATGCCCAAATCACCAAGATCTACATGTATTTGCTCTCATGAATGTAAAGAAATAAGTGAACCACCTCACCTGCAATGCAGGATGGGATGACATCCATGCTGGTCTTCAGCATCTCAAAACCGCCCTTGGACGACTTCATCGTTTCACTTCTTGAAGTCGATCCCGAGAACATTCTTAGTCAATCCCCTCCCCTGTTTGGTCACCGTCAATATCAATGAATGGACATTTGAAACCCGACTACCAAGGCATGACAATCCTAATCGAGGGAGGAAATTTTGACATGGATAAGTAAATCTTAATCCCCCTCCTCATACTTGAAGCACATGACAGTGAACAATATGACTTCTCAAACCATTTCGGCCTGCTATATTTGACCATATATTTGTAAAAAGAGTCCTGAAATGACCTCTGCCACCAATGTTCTCCCAAAGTTGAGGGTTGCTCTCGACCTGTTTGTCCGGACTGGATATATCGACAAGACTTATGCTCATGTTATTGCGGATGATACAAAGCTTGCCCTTGAGATGAATAAGGGCAGCAGCCTCCAAGGCTCGAGAACTCCCTAAATGAAGCTTACTATCAATAAATTTATTCCAAGAATCTGTGGCTCCATCATACACCCTAAGCTTGCATCCATCACGGCAATCTAGGGCATAGAGCTGTCCATTTAAAGAGACACTAGGGTTGCGCCAACCAGAAATTAGATTCAGGATCATATGCTTCGCTCATAACCTCACGATGGGATCCCATTCCTTTTACAAACCACTTCCCATCATAAACTATCCCAATGAAAGGTACCATAGCAGTGCTCATATCTTGAACAAAACTCCATCTGTTCTTGTTTCAGTCATAAACTTCGGCAGATCGTAAAGTCCTATGAATTCCCTCACATTCTCCACCAGCCACATAAAGGCAGTTATTTATTACACAGGAACTGAATAAATGACGTTTTCAAAGCATATCTGGTGCTCTGTGCCACTTGTTTCTCAAAGCAATATAGAAAATAACACATCTCATTGAACCCCTTTGTCGGTCCTTTCCTCCAAACAAGTACAGGTGTCAACCACTTAGAACAGCACAACCAAAACCAAGGGCCTCAGAATACTCCCTTGGAACTGGAGGAAGTGGCTGCCACAGCTGATTGATAGGGTCAAACGCATTCCATGATATCTTCCCATCATGATCACGTTTGAAGATATACACCCACTCTTCTGCCATTCCAAGACTTTTCCTAAGAGACTAAAAGAAGTTACCAGGCAGAAGGCGATACCATCTCTTGCAAACTATGCAGAGTTTTCGGTGTTCAGCACAAGGAACTCAAATCAGACATGCAATGGCAAGATCATCAGGAAGACCAGGTAGGAGAGGTGGCTGGACTCGTGTCCTCTCTCTGCGAGAGCTTCTACTCTTGTGTGCATTGGGATTGATATCAGGCTGGATACAAAGCTTTGATCCTGGGACAAATTTTCTTGCCTCAGCTACCGTCTTCAATCCAGAATCCACTTTACAATAGCAATATACAGAATCAACCTGCAAAAACAATGAACATCGAAATATGATAAAGATGTCGAAGAGGGAAAAAAGAAGAAAAAGAAAGCAATTATTCATATCGGATGCATCCTTGATCATTCATTGTGCCTTCCTTACTTCTGATTCGTGGGCTTACAAAGAATGCCAACAAAAGGCAGCAATCTGTATCATTTCCAGACAACAACAAAGAAAAGCATTCAAAATTTCTCGAGACAAATAAGAATTTATCAGTTGAACAACTCCTACCCTGATTATTTGTTTGGTTTCTATGAGAAGCTGTTTAATTTAACGTGACATGTGCCAGATGCCACATTGTGATGAGAATTCTACCTAAAGCTTCAGCTACTGAAGCCATGGTGTGAGTCCGCAAAAACTCTTTCTCTGCAATTTCTTCTACTGCACAGAGATCGAAGGGCATCCATTTTACCAATTTTAAAACCACTTATGCATCATTAGCTTTAATCAATGACCACAATATAAGAGTTCATCTTCACTCCTAGAAACTTTGCATCTCAGGTTTTCCAGAAATAATATAGAAGCCGTAATACTCGAAATTCCTTTCGAACCAATCCCAAATTACCGCCAAAAACAATGGTAGATTGGTTCGAAAGCATTTGATCTCGAACTCAATAGATACAACTACCCAAAAGAAAGAACAACTCAGTGAAATGAGCAAAACTCCCACCATCAACAAACAAAACAACTAAGCTTTCAAAAGAAAAACATTGTAGAGAACACTAAGCCTTGTCAAAGTCTCATTTATTAGGATCCCAATTTCTCAATTAAGTAAATTCTCCATCTGGGTATCTTCAAATTTCCATGAAAACTAAATCAAAGAGAGGAATCTTGAAATAAAGTTTTCAACATATTCATCAACTGTGCATCACTAAGAAACTCATAAATTTCACAAAAAGAGGGGTAAAAGATGACGTTGGAGCTTACCAATGGAGCTTGGACTCGAAACCCTCTGAGAGCATTAGATGAGTGTTGGGAAATAGATTGCTCCATCTTTCAAAACCAAAGATTCAGGGAAAAGAGTCAAAATCTATTACAAAATAACCAGTTTTAAGAAACCCAGATCGAGACCCCAATTCATAGAAAAAAAGTACTCAGAATCTCATTCTCCAATATTCAAATTGAATTTTTTAATCGTAGCATGTACAAAAGAAAACCGACTTTACTTGCTTCTTTGTTTGTTTCCTTTTCTTTATTTTATAAAATGGCAACAAATTTTGCTTTGTTTTTTCTTAAATTTTCTCCCTCAAACTCAAAAGTCTCAACTGAAGAGCAAACACACAGGCGTCATAGGCGGACCTAAAAAATTGCACTCAAACATTAAACATTAAAATTTGGCACTCTGCCCCTTTTACTCTAAACATTATAAATGTATATTACATAAAGAACTCAATTTTATTTTTCCTTTATACAAAAAATATTCTCTCTCTCCAATGTTATTAGAAAACTCAAATCGAATATAAATAAATTATCATTAATCGCATAAAATACATTATTAAAAAATAACTTCGATTTATTTCAAGTTCATATTTCATTCGAATGTCGTATCAGATCGCACTACTTCGACCAAACAATACTTTCCACGCCCATTCTACAAATAAGTGTTCTTGAAAATATTAGAGTAAAAAAAGCGTTAAAAATGAATGAAACAAATATTTTATATAATCGTTCGAAACCAATTCCCAAGAACAAAGAACATATACATACATAAATGATACGGATAAATATATAATATCCATACATGGTAAAAATGTAAGGAAATAAAATCTAACTAACCAAAAATTAAATTATATAAGTAAAATAAATAGATAATAAAGCACAACAATTAAACGAATAAAATTAAAGTATTGAAAATAAAGAGACAAAAATAAACAATTAGAATATTAAAGCAAATAAAATATAAATACTGAAATTAAATAAAGAAAATAAAAAACATAAATTTAAATGTGTACAAAATTAAATAACATAAATAAAATACAATAAAATAAAATAAAATATTAATATAAAATTTATTATGTATCTTATACCGTAAATGATACGAGTAATACCCGCAAAACGAATTGTCACATAGTGATACATGGTTCAAACTGGAGGAGGGAGAGAAGAACTTTTTTTTCTATTAACTTTTTCCACTTGCAGAACTGGGGGTTTGCTTTCTGATTTTTTTAGCTTTTAAAGCCCCCACATGTTACAAAAGGTAATATTACAATTAGTCCCTACATTTATTCCCTCTTTAATTTTTAGATAATGATACAATTGCAAATTTGGTCCTTACACTTTGTTCCCTCATTAATTCCCGGATAAAATTAGGGTATTACAACTATCCTTTTTGCTTGTTTGTTGTGTAAACAATGATGAAACAAAGATAAATAATTGTCTAATTTTTTTCTAGCTACGATGTTTGCTTCGCATATGGAGCTCCAATTCTTTATCTGAAAATAGAGGATTTAAAAATGACATTTTTCCTTCATGTTGAAGATGCCTAGCCGCTTTCAGGTAGATTGTTTGTTGAAGATGACTCTGTTCCTTCTTGAGGAAATCAGGTCAGATCTGGATCAGTTGGGTCCTGATGGGCTGCTAGAGCTGAAGCAGAAACCTAATAGGTTTTCCATGTGAGTTGTACATTGGGCTTTGGGCCTACAAAATATAAATGTTGTATTATTATTATTATTATTATTATTATTTATTATTTTAGATCCGGATAAAAAATGGATGCCTACACATGATTTACACAATTATTTTCATTTAAACTTCATTTTATAGTAAAATCAATAAGGCATTCATGATGTTCCTGTTTCCCAGGTTCAGTTCTCATCGTCTAATAGAAGGGATGTCAATTTGTATGGAAAATAGAAAAGTAACAAAAGAAAATGGAAGTGAAAATAACATGTTTGCCTTATTCCCTCCCTACAGGTTTTCAAATTTTCCATAAAACCACCACAAGTTTGTAGCAAGTGAAACAGCAACAATAATAAACAACAAATTCAAAGGGATGACACTCCAGTGTGCATGTCTGATCTTAAAGAACCCCCCAGATTTCATTTTCCACAAATGATACCATTACAATATAGTACAGTACAGTACAACTGATACTAAAACACGACTCAAACCACTGTCTTATCGCCACCACTAACATCAGCAAGAGGAGGAGGTATATACGAAATGGAATGGCAGACAGGATGTTGCTCCTCTCTCCCACCACATACACTACAACCCATTCCATCAGCTAACAAGATCACCAGTAAATGACAGCAACTGAGGAGTATGAAGTGATCCCTATTTTTGGTTAGAATTTCTTCACCAATGCCCTACTAAACACAATACACTCAACTTCTACTCCTTTTTGACTCTTTCAAACACCGACATGCCGCCAGTCATAAAAACCCTCCTAATGTATAAAACGACGATTACTAAGATTAAGAGCAAAAGATAAGTAAACCCAAGAAAAAAAAAGTCCCTATGATTGAATGGGAAGCTCTGCAACTATTAGACGCTGAGAGAACTAACAAAGAAATGAGAGTTTATCAATCCCATGCACTGGCAACGTTAGCACTGTAGCCACCACCATACCCACCTGCATTATTGCCTCCACCATAGTAATCTGATCCGCCCCTGTTGAAAGATGAATCCCTCCTAAAGTCACGCCCACCAAACCGGCCTCCTCCTCCATGGCGACGATTCCTCCCTCCAAATGAGCGAGCTGCATATCGAGTGAGCCAAGCAGGCACCTCTTGATTCGCTTCTTGCATTAGATCAGCTAATGACTTTGCCAAAGAAGCATTGTTATCATTGAAGAATGCTGTGGCCAAACCAGTTTTGCCTGCACGCCCTGTTCTTCCAATTCGATGAACATAGTCATCAATGTCATTTGGAAGGTCAAAGTTCACCACATGTGCAACATGAGGAATATCAAGACCACGAGCTGCCACATCAGTAGCTACTAGGATCGGGGTAGCACCACTTTTAAATGACCGTAATGCTTGTTCTCTTTCCTGCAATTTACATGATTAACAGGTAACTTAACAAGAGGTAAAGAACTTACAAGAGTAGAAAGAACATATAAAAAAGAACTGCTCAAAATATGTATGAGACATAGAAGATAAATGTCAAACCTAAACTACGGAAACATTGTGATTAATGCAAACCGAGACCATTTCAAAGCAAAACCAAGACAAGGAATAGCTAAGAAGGATAACAAACGTGATCTCAACTTTTTATTTTCTGATTAATGTTCAAAGATCCTGACCAACAAATAAGATAATAATAACGTGGAGTATAAACACATTTATTTTTTAGAAATCTTCATGTAGAAATCCAACAGCAACCATATGCAGACTTGCAACTACACATTGCATTTAATGCATTACTCGATAACTAATATGTTAGTTAATTCTTGGCATCCAATAACAGATATTTGAGAATCAACATCCATTAACAGAGATATATATGTAAGACAGTAGGGGTGAGCGTTTGATCGAGTAGAGTAAAAAAAATTCGATTTATTCGAGTTGACGAAACCTATTTTATAACTCGAACTTGACTTGAAATTTTTTCGAGTAGAGTTTTCGAGTTTATGTTTAAATTTAATTGTAAATATGTATAATATTATGATATTATCTGATTCCAATTTAAATGGATTTTTATGACCATATACAATACATATATATTTCTTCATATTTTTATCATATGTGATATACATATATCATACAGAGGCGAGAGACTCGACTCAAACTTGAAAATAAATCCATTAATTACTAAGAATTTCGAGTTATTTGAGTTACTATTTGAGTTGTATTTTATAACTCGATTTGACCTTGAAATATTTTCAAGTTGAGTTTTCTCAAGTCAAGTCTAGTCGAAAAATCAGTTTTCCGAATCGAGTCGATTTTTACTCACCCCTATATATATGTCGCCAGGAAAAATGTTCCACTAAAGTTCCAAACATATCTATTATCAAATCAAGTATAGGGTAGGTAATAAATTATACAAAAAAATAGAGTAGTGACCACTACCAAACTGATGGATAATTAAGGACAGTGAGCATAATGAAAATGTGAAAATTAGAAAACAATAAAATGTTGCTTTCATTGTCTTCACTAAAAATGTTTTGTAAAACTGAAAAAGTTGAAAACATGGATTTTTCTAGCTTAATGGATTGACCCAGGTTTAAATCCATGTAAACAAAAAACCCTTTTCTTCAACAATTTTTATATATTAAATCCCCTACCTTGGTTCAAATCCATGTGAATGTAAGAATTTTCTTTATGATGTTTCCATTATAAGAAGATAGGTAAATAAATGTGTTTTCGTATTTTCATTACTGAAAACAACTTTTATTTCTATTTACCAAACTTGTTTTTCAGTTTAGAGAAAATAGAAAATGTTTTCGGAAACCAAACATAGCCTAAAGTTCTGTTGGAAAACAAAGAAGCCACAATAAAACATTTGGGAGTTTAAATACACTTTTTTTCTATGAAACTAACAATTCAATTTAAAACAAATACCATGCATAAAAAGTACAAATGAAAATGAAAACAAGTATATTTTACCTGCTGGCTTCTATCACCATGAATGGTAGTTGCAGGAAAACCATTCATGCAGAGCCAATGTTCCAGTGAATCGGCTCCCTTTTTTGTCTCGACAAAAACTAATGTAAGAGCTTGCTGCAAGAACAAAATAAAAGGTTATCTAATAAGAAAGCTTCAGTCAAATTCACAACCAAAAATAGACATGATTTACGAAGAGTGCTAATCTGGTTCATACAGGAATTTTAATTAAAGCATTAGGACAAAGTACCACAAGCACAAAACAATTAGTACCTTGCCCTGGGCACCATTTGCTCTCTGAGCATGAAGAAGGTCCATAAGGTGACTTCTTTTGTCCGACTCTTGAACAAATTCTACTCTTTGTACAATCAAATCCGTACTTGATCCAACTCGCCCCACAGCCAAGAAAATATAATTGGCAAGAAAATCAGACGCCAGTCTCTGCATGCAAAAATAATGAAAGGGTAAACAATTACCAAAATCCTACATACATGCGCTCCAAATAGTATTCAAAGTACCAATTTGGTTGCAGTTTAAGTGGCAAGAATGCAATGGAGTTTCACTAAAAAGTCCTTTTCGCTGTAATGCTCCCACTTTAACATATAAAAAACTAAAATTCCAACAATAATGCAAATTTAACAAAAAACAATATTAAATTATCAGTACTACAGTAATATGCATGCCATGTATGAATCTGATAAAGAACTTCATACTATAAAGAGATAATGCATGAGCAATGCATTGAAAACTGACAAGAAACTAATCAATTATGTAAATTCTCAAGCAGGATTCATTACAAAGATGGGATCAACCTGTATCTCTCTTGGAAAGGTGGCACTGAAGAGCATTGTTTGTCTAACACCAGGTGGAGGCATGTCCATTTGTTCCACAATCTTTCTTATTTGAGGCTCAAAACCCATGTCCAGCATTCTGTCTGCCTCATCAAGGGCCAAGTACCTGATCATCTCTAGAGAAACTCTAGCCCTCTCTAGCAAATCTACCAATCTTCCAGGTGTTGCCACAAGAATATCAACACCTCTTTCGAGTTCCCTCAGCTGTTCAAATAGAATACCATCAACTTACTCTAAAATAAAATTCAAACATACAATTTAAGATAAAAATGATGACATAGACTCGGCAGCAAAATGATACCGGGATGTCAAAATGATACTAGAAGGTCAAATATTTGAAGACAAAAAGTGCATCAGACCCTTTCAGGGGAAGTGCATCTGATAAGTGACCGGGTGTGATTTTCTTAAAGGCAGTAGGCATAAAATATCTGCCTAATTGAAGTTCTTTTTAAATTCTATTAACCTTTTTCATTAGACCTAACTTCACTGGTAAGGAAGGAAATAATATCGAACTCTACTTCTTGAAATTTAAGCACCCAAAAAAAGAGAAAGTTATACATATCGGTTAACCAGAACAAACATGTTTTGTAGATAAACTATGCTACTATAGTTTTTGTTATCATAATTACATATCTTAAGCTAATCATACACACACACAAAAACACTTTTTTTTTTTGCACCTTGCACCCAAGGCATTTTAAGGATTCTAGCAATTAGAGTGCACCTTGCGGCCTTGACAACACTTTGGTGAGCATATAAACTTAAAATATGCCAAAGAAGGTTACTACTTGCCCCAAGAGCAGATAGTTTCACCTTAATCCGCAAAATTAGAGTGGAACTCTTTTTTATATATAGGGATAATGCATCAAAATTGTGGCAACACTATATTAGAAATTCAGATTAACATAAATGATAGGTAAACTGAAAAGAAAGGGAAATAGAGATAGAGGTTACCTGTTGGTTAATAGGAGCACCCCCATAAGCAACAACAACCTTAACACCTGTTTGATAAGAGAACTTTCTGGCTTCCTCGTGTATCTGCAATAACAATCACTGAATATAAATTCCACGTTTTTAATAGAAGCACATCACTTGAATTGTCAAAATAAGACACCCACTTGCATTGACAGCTCCCTAGTAGGAGAGAGAATAAGAGCTAATGGGAAAACTGTGCGTGCTCCACGTAATGATTTTTGTGGAACTGGGCCTCTCATAATTCCACTGATAATTGGAAAACAGAAGGCAGCTGTCTTTCCAGAGCCAGTCTGAGCACATGCCATCAAATCCCGTCCTGCGAGTGAAATGGGGATGGCATACCGCTGAACAGGTGTCGGCTTCACATACTTGCACCTTCGGATGTTTAGATTCAGAGCTTCACCCAAGTCAATCTCTGCAAAAGTATTAACGGCTGGTGGAATGTTGTCACCACTTGTCTCCACAGGAATGTCTTCATAGGCATCAAAGTTGATTGCAGTGTTCTCTTGTTCACTAAACGCTTGCTCTGTATCATCATCATCATTTCCAAATGGATTAACTTCCCTATCCCTCCCACGATCCCAACCACCACTTCTGCCACCCCACCCACCAGGTCGACCACCACCATACACCGATCGGTTGTTATAATCATTCCTAGGAGCAGCCCAACGAGATCCCCCTTGTCCAGGTCGGTCATTACTTGAAGCAGGGCCAGTGGAAGTAGGAGTGGGTGGGTCTGCAGAGGGCGGGCGATTACGGAGATGTGGAGGCACATAAACAGGTTGATCACCACCGGAACCAGCAGCTTTGTTGCTATCAGATGAAGAACCAACACCTACATTATCAGCTGCAGAATTTGCAGCCAAATCTGCCCATGATGTTCGTGTAGTCATTACAATTCACAAGCACCCGAGATTCCAATTTTTCAACAAAACCCTTTTTAGTCAAAATCCACCAAGTTAACTTTCCCAAAATGAAAATTGTCAAGCCTGAAAAAAAAATCATAAAACCCATCAAAACAAATGAAGCAATCGTATATTACTTCAACAGTCACCCAAATGCAGCACGTCAATGTAAACAATCAGCTCAATGAAATAAAAAACGAAACCCGAAACTTAATATACAAAACAGAAACAACGATTTATCCGATTGATTGAAAAAAAATGCCTCTCTGTTACATAATCAACAAAAAAACCCAAATGCAAATTTATCAAGAGTTTTTAAAAAAATATGTAAAAAGGAAACCTGAGAATTTGAGTAATTATTACATATACATAGAGAGTAACGAGGAAGGGTTAGATGGAAACCTGAGAATGAGAAAACTCTGAAGTCTGTTGTTGAAAATACTCAAGATCCGAACAGAATAATAGAGAAAAAATGAAACCCTAATATTTATGCAGACATAACCCGAGAAGAAGAAATATAAAATGGAATTTTTATTTTTTGAAAACCTTTCTTTCTCTCTCTAATTTCTGTATATTTTAATTATTTTTCATATTTTATTTTTTCCTTTACATATTAGAAAAGTTTCTTCTCGCTTCGTTTCTGCATTAGCCGAATTTTGAATTTTCTTCTTTTTTCAGAATTTATTTTTAATTATATTTAATTTAAAATAGAATTGAATTTGTGAAGAAAAAAGTTGAACTAAATTAATAAATTTGCAAAATCATTAAAATTCGTCCTTAAAATTAATAAATTAGATATGTCCGTACAAAATATGCGGCTAAGAGGCAATGAGCGGTCTCAAGACGCACCCATATTTGGTAAGTTACACCACTGATTTTACAGTGCTATTGAAATTACGTTTATCCCCCCCAATTACGAATTTGAGAGATTTTAATTTCTGAAGTTTAAACCAAAATATTTTGTTTTTTCAAATTAATAAATAAAAATTATGGTTATAGACAAATTAAGAAACAGCCTACCTTAAATATCACTACTTAATGCACAAGTTGTTACGATTACTGGTAGTCAATCACATCATTTCCTTTTCTACAAAAGTTGGAACCAAGCAAAATGTATTAGAAAAATTATAAATAAAAAAAGTCTAAAATATTTTAAATTATGGAGAAATGTTTTTCATTATATTTTGGGTAAACTACAAAAATATCACTAATGATTAATTAAGTTCTCGTTTTATTCATTGTAATTTTATAAGTAACAAATTGATCACTAACATTATCGATTTGTAACAAATCGATTAATCGTGATTAATAATCATTATTGGGATAATATAATACTGATGTAATATGTTAAACCGATGAGATGACATCATTTTATTAATGTTTGACTCTCAAAACTTTTGACCAACATTATTACCTATTAGAAGACGACAATAATATTTTATTACTGTACTTCCATTAATTTAATTAGGTTGAAAACATGTTTTTAATAGCTTGAAATTTTTGGATTAGGGATGGCAAACGGTCGGGTCGGGTGCGGATACCCCTTCCCCCATCCCCACTACCCACCTAATGAGCAAAAAAAAATGCAGCCTTTTAATCATAAACGATAAGACAACTATATCATTACAAAGATTTCTCTTCAATGCATTTATTTATCATAAATAAATGCGAAAGATGTGGGTAGAACATTCATTTACTCCTCTATTTATATGTTAACAGTAAGAAAAACAGTAAATTTGGTGTTTCATTTCAAGATATAGTTTAGGAGGTGCCTAAAACAAGATTCTAGATAGAGATTAGAAGCAAAAAAATAAAGATATTACTATACCAAACTAAAGAAGCTTACTTGACACATCAAAAAAAAAAAAGGAAAAAGAAAAGAAAAGATGCTTATTGACTCTATATAAAATTTTATGTCATTATTCTAATGACAACTCTACAGTTAGTAAAAGATAAAAAAAATATAAATTTAATTTCGGGGACAAGAATAGGGGAAAGTAATATAGTATAAGGAAGACATTGAATCTCTTAACACTTAATTATATTCAGTGGTGTTAAAAATGGAGGTTTGAGAAGTAACGATCTGACTCTGTTGGCCTAAACGTGGGTGCTCAGTGACAAGATACTGATTTGCAGAACATTAAGAAATTAAGTTTAAAACAAACATTGAGATAAATCTAAAAAATAATTAAAAATCAGTACGAGCAAATAAAAATTAAACTCTTAAAACGAAATGCAGATGAGCTTAAAATGAAATGACTACGGAAATGATTCTTACAAAAATTAAATTTCAAGTAAAAAGGGAAGAAACGTACCTGAATAAGCTGGATAGTGGAGACCAGATGTTTGAAAGATCGGCGCAGTATCGAGAGGTTTGAAAGAAAAAAAATTATGCATAAACTTTTTCCTAATATTTGGTTAAATTACAAGTTATATCTTATACAATATTAGGATTTATAAATTAGTCTCTAAAATTACACCTAAATTCATAATGGTCCAAAATTTAATAGATATTTAGTTAGACGGGCAGATGTGGGGCAGGTGGATGTGGGCAGGCGGATGCGGGGCGGGTAAGGTCTCAAACCCATTACCTGCCCACTACTCGCGACGGGTACCACTTTCTAAATCTACACCCGCCCACTACCCACTAAAATTATACCCATCTCCGCCCCAATTGGAGCGAATGCGGTGCGGAATCCACAAAATTATACCCGCTTGCCATCCCTACTTTGGACCCACAAATTCTCAAAGCCTTTCCTTACCCTCATCCCTAAATCAAATATAGCAGACACGATAACGGAATTTTACCCTATTAGCCTCCTGAATACTTCGTATAAAATCTTCTCTAAGGTTCTGGTTCAGCGGTTAAGCCCATTAATCGTTTAGCGATGAGTGGGTCCTTATCAAAACAATTTCTTAGCAGGAAGAAGCGTGACGAACAATATTTTAATTGTGCAAGAAGCGGTGCATACAATGATGAATCTTCAAGGAAGAAAAGTGCACCATATCATGAAAATTAACCTTTAAAAGGCCTATGACAACGTAAGCTGATGTTTCCTTCAAGACATTCTTCGAGCATTCAACTTCCCCGAGAAATTAATGGAAATATTAATGGCATGTGTTAAATTAGTACGATTGAGCCACTCTAGGATTGTGAAATGATTGAAAGTTTTGCTCCAAAAAGATCCCCGACAGGAAGACACTCTATCATCACATCTTTTTATATTAGTCCTGGAAAGAGTATCTCACATGATACTCGAAAAAGAGGAAAACAGAGTGGAAGGCCCCAAAAATTTCTAGAATGGGTCCTAAGATCAGCCACATATTCTTCGCGGACGACTTACTTCTCTTTGTAGAAGCCAAAACGGACCAACTAATCTGCATTCAGGAATGCCTAAAGGAATTCAGTCAAGCTTGGGGTTTGAAGGTAAACTTGCATAAGTCCAAATTGTTTGTTTCTCTGAACATTAATTTAGAAAATTCAAATATATTAAGCGATGTTTGTGGCATTCCCCTCACGGACGATTTGAGAACTTATTTGGGAGTCCTGATAATCCATAAGAGAGCAAATACAGGTACGTACGCGTCTCGACAAGGTGATGCGAAAACTGGCCGATTAGAAAGGAAGGGTTCTCTCAACGGTGAGAAGAAGAGTTTAGTACAATCTGTCACAGCGGCAATAACAGTGCATACAATGCAGACCGCGACTCAACCAACGACGATGTGCAACAAGATTAATAGTGTGAATCGAAATTTCCTATGGGCAGGAGGCACCGACTATGCCCATAATCATCTGGTTAGTTGGGACAAAATTTGTAACTCAAAGTATCAAGGAGGGTTATGTACGAAAAATAAGATCAACGAATTTAGCATTGATGGCAAAAATGATTGGAGGATTTATAACCGACAAGAAACTCTTTGGTGCAAGGAGTTTAGAGAAAAGTACTTGAAACAAACTAACTTTTTGAAAACTAGAAAGCAAGGCAGCAGTACTGAAGACTCGCAAAGTGATACAGAAAGGTTGTAAATGGCAAATTTGGTTAGGTCAACAACCAAGATTCTGGCAGGATTGGTGTGTGGGTGACGTACTGAAAACGAAGACATGCCTGATTATGGAAACAAGCTCTAGGAATGAGGCTGTATCATACTATATAACGTTAGACAAAGCTTGGAACTTACAGGAAATACAAAACGTGATCTCAAAGGACACGAAGAAACAAATTTAAGGAGTCCTTATTTCAACAGTTAACAACAACCATAACCATGATAAGGTGTTATGGGATTTTTCAAATGATGAAAAGTTCACGGTCGCTTCAGCCTTTAGAACCATTAGGAGCATGAAGATGAATGAGCAAATCACGAAGAGTATGAACTAGTTATGGAAAACCAAAGTCACTGAGAGAATTAGGTTTTTTATATGGCGGTGCATGCTCAACAAATGAAATCCGATTAAAAAAGAATACGGTGCAAGATGCCAACTGCATTGATTGCAGGGACAACCAAATCGATTAATCACATATTCCGAGAGTGCAGCTCAGCAAGACAAGTTTGAATAGAACTAGAAGCTCATCACCATGAAGCACAGTTTGAAACAAAGGACTTCAAGGAGTGGTTAAAGAAGAATAATTGATCATGCATAGATATGAGAGATGGGTTAGAGTGGGGGATATTATTCTTGACCACTATTTTGGGACTTTGGAAGAGTATAAACGAAAGGGTATTCTCCAACGAGAAAAGAAATTCGGGTGAAGTGGTGTAATACGGTCGTGGGTTGGCTAGAGAAATGGTAATGACACTGGCAACAAGCTATAAAAGGGTGACTAAGGAACCACAATGGGTACAATGGATAAAATCACCATAAGGGAGTTGGATTCTCATTACATACAGGGCTTGTAAAATAAATACGGAGTTAGTTGCAGCAGGGGGCTTAATTTGCGATGAAAACGGGGACTGAGTGAGTGGATTCACCATCAAGTGGGGAGAACGAGCAGTGCCTTGGCAGAGCTCTGAGGAGCTCGGCAGGAACTGATTTTGACGAAATCTTGGGCGCGACAAATATCATTGTCGAGATGGATGCAAAATGGTTGGTTAACGACGAGTTAATGGAGGACCACCCAAGCAACGTTCTAGTGAAAGACTGCAAGGAACTTCAAAGAGAATGGTGGGTTAGCGAGATTAGACACATTGGTGGGAAGGTAACAGATGCACGGACCGTTTAGCTAATATGGCGTTTGAAGGAATGAATGATCTCACTATCCTATCGGACCCTCCAAACGAGGTACTACCCTTACTTCGGACAAATGTTAGAAGAGATGGCGTCCTGAGGATGAAGGCGTTTGATACTACTACCTTTGTACCAAAAAAATCAATAAATTCAATCATAACATTTTTAAAATTCATATTGTTTATATATATATATATTCAAGGGTTTAAATGTAATTTTTTGAATATTATGGAGGGATTATGAGGTAGTATCTGTTCAGAATTTTTTTAATAATTGATAACACACATATACTCTGAAGAAGCAGTTGTTGAAAATTCAACAACACATGGGCTGCTTGAAAAAAAAAATTGGGGGCTGAATTTTGTTGAATTTTTGGCATGGGAAAATTATTTTTAGTCATTGGACTTTAGGGTATTTATAAAGATTAGTCCTTAAGCTTCAACTATAAATACCCTTACCCATTTAGCTTCAAAATCATTCTAAAATCATGTATTTCTCTCAATACTAAAGAGTTTAGAGAGTTCTCTTATGAGTTGTGAGTGTTTTTATAAACACCTGTAAACTTTCTCTTTAGTAAAAGATTTGCAGCAGTTCGGAGACGTAGGCGTAATTGGCTGAACTCCGTTATCAATTTCGGATATTATTTTTCCGCTTTTATTTCGCATTCTCACTAATATGGTTATAGGGAAATTACTCGTACTCAGTTTTATTTCCCAACAACTGGTAATCAGAGCTTTTGGTTGTAATTTTTGTGAATTTTTTACAAGATTACTATTCATTACTATTCACGTGAATAGTGACTTTTGTGAATAGTAAAAATTTTGTCGGCGATATGAGTTTGTCGACATAGGTGTTATAATACACGGCGGTTTGCAAAAATTGTCAGAAACGATCCAAAGAAGCCAGATTCGGGTGGGAGCGATGGCTACAGACGAAGGGAAGGTGAAAATTGAGAAGTTCGATGGTGCAAACTTTGGCTTTTGGAAGATGCAGATTGAGGATTTTATGTACCAGAAAAATCTATATCAACCTCTCTCAGGAAAGGATCCAGAGGGCATGAAGAATGAATACTGGGCTCTTCTCGACAGACAAGCCCTCGGAGTTACCCGACTGGCATTATCCCGCAATGTTGCTTTCAACATAGCAAAGGAAAAGACCACAGTGGGTCTTATGGCGGCTCTCTCTAGTATGTATGAGAAGCCATCAGCCTCAAACAAAGTTCACTTGATGAGGCGATTATTCAATTTGCGGATGGCAGAAGGGGCATTAGTGGCTCAACACCTAAATGAACTCAACACTATCACAACCCAGTTGAGTTCCGTGGAAATTGAATTCGATGATGAAGTTCGAGCTTTAATTCTCTTATCATCTCTACCATACAGTTGGAATGCTACTGTTACATCAGTTAGCAGCTCGTCGGGAAACAGTAAATTGAAATTTGACGATGTTCAGGATCTGGTATTAAGCGAAGAAATTCAACGAAGAGAATCGGGTGAAGCATCAACCTCCTCAGTCTTGCACACGGAGTCTAGAGGGAGAACTTAAGAAAGAAATTCAAATCGTGGCAGATCGAAATCCAGAAGTGAAAAATTAAGAATGGGAAAGAAATATTTTACCTGTTATAATTGTGGCAAGAAGGGTCACTTTAAAAGATATTGTCGAGCACTGAAGAAAAATACCGGCGCACAGGAATCTGCCAACATGACAGAAGAGACAGGTGATGCCATGATTCTAAGCGTCAACAGTCCGATTGAATCATGAATATTGGATTCAGGGCATCTTTCCACTCCACCCCATGCCAAGAAATCACGGAGAACTATGTCAGTGGTGATTTTGGGAAGGTTCATCTAGCTGATGATGAAACCTTGAAGATCGCCAGAAAAGGAGACACCCGATTAAAGTTGCCAAACCAGACCACCTGGAAGCTGACAGGAGTGAGACATATTCCTGGCCTCAAAAGAAATTTGATTTCTGTAGGACACTTGATGGAGAAGGATATAGTACAACCTTTTCAGGTTGTGAATGGAAGATTACCAAAGGAGCACTCGTCATTGCTCGTGGTAAGAAGACTGATACTCTCTATGTAACCTCAAATTTAGAGAATATCATTGCAGTAGTAGATGCTGATGGAAAATCAAACCTATGGCACCAAAGGCTTGGCCATAGGCGAGAAATGGATGAAGACATTTTTGTCAAAAGGGAAGCTGCCGGATCTAAAGAATGTATGTCAAACTATGTGAGGATTGCATCTTTGGCAAACAAAAGAAAGTCAGTTTTGCAAAGATTGGCAAGACACCCAAGGCAGAAAAGTTAGAGTTGGTTCATACTGATGTATGGGGACCATCTCCAGTTCCATCTCTTGCAGGCTCACTATATTATGTCACCTTCATCGATGATTCTACAAGGAATGTGTGGGTTTATTTTCTGAAGAAAAAATTCTAAGTCTTTGATACCTTCAGAAAATGGAAGGCCATGGTGGAAAATGACTGGTTTGAAAGTCAAGCCGTTGAGGTCTATAATGGAGAGAGTACAGAAACAATATGTAACACCCGTAACCCGTATATTATACCTATACATATTACATATATTATTTGAATTCTCGAAAACCATTACCTTTTCAAAAGCGATTTAAAATTTATTTTCTAAATAGTAAATGATATTATAAAATTATATATCATAAAAATTTTTTCGTTGTAACCAATTTAATTCAAAATATTTTATTTATGAATAGTGAATAGTACCCGAACAGTGAACAGTGAGGGAATCGATTCCCTATAGCAGGGGATCGTACCCCAATGTATTCTGGAAAAATTTTCATAATTCGTGGTTATTGTTCATGCTACAGTAACTACACTACAAATTCCAAAAATTTACATATAA